TAAGTACTGAGAATTTTTTAATTGAAAATAAAACTATTCTGATGGAACATTGCATAATGATTGTATACACAGTCATTTTAGCTTCACTCCCCTCTGACACTATCACTAGTGGAATGACACTTTCATGTCAAGACTTTACATTTCTTCAAAATCTTAAACCAATCTAATTTTAACATGGAGAATATACTCTAGGCAACTCAAGAAAACAACTAAAATTATCCACAGAATATTATATAATTTTTAAACAAAATGTTCAATTATGAAAAAATATTGTGCCAAATTGGATGTATCAGCATGTCTTGAAAAGATATAATGTTATGTTAATTCATATTCTTTTTAACAAGAAATGCATATCTAATTATATTTTTAAAGAAATGTATATAAATCTAAGAATCTAATTATTTATGACTCATCAAAATATAAATGACAACATTGGCCCAACAAGAATAAAGTGGAAAATATTTATGAATTTCTCATAGACTTAAAAAGTTTAAAAATAAGGGCTTTAAGTCAAATCTCCATTCTCTTTTCCGTATTACAAGTCTATTGTTAATTGCCCTCAATTCAAGCATGACTCATGTCAACCCTATGAACAACAGATCTGAACCTTGTGCTAGCCTGTGTCATCCTCATATTTTCTGAAATATTTGAATGCATTGTTGCAGTCACCATATTAATCCAGCTCCTTGAGACTCTTCTTCCCTTTTACCAACCTTTCTCAACTTTCCAAGCATGATGTCCCTCTCCAAGGAATAACCTCTCCTAGAAACATGCCAAAAATATCTGAGAGAAAGTGTTGTCATCTTTGCCTGCAAGGAGTCCTCTGGCTGTCCTTTCTCCAACACATAGCTATTTGTTCTTTTGGCAGTCCCTGGATAATTCAGTACTCTTCCCAACATGAAAATTCAAAGGCATCAATAATTCTGGTGTCCTTATTCATTGTCTGGCTTTCAACAGCATAGCAAGTAATTGATAAGACCATGGCCTGAATCAGGCGTATCTTTTTTCTTCAAACCAGCAGCATTGTTCCTCCACAATTTAGAGAAGAGCCTGACTGGAAACTTCCCCAATGCAATATGACTGCTAGACCAAGGGCGTTGATTGTAGATCCAACAAGATGAAGTAATTGTAATTGACACTCTGCTGTTAGGGACCTGTCCAAAATACTCAAGAGCAACAGTGTCTCTCAGGGAGACTAAGGTCTGCCTGATACAGGCCATGGTTTTTGCAATCACTTGTTATGTATCAGA